GTGTGTCCCAGGGGTGATTCCAGGTGTGTCCCGGGTGTGTCCCAGGTGTGACTCCAGGTGTCCCAGGCGTGAATCCAGGTGTGTCCCAGATGTCCCAGGTGTCCCAGGTGTGTCCCAGGTGTGACAGCTGTCCCAGGTGTGACTCCAGGTGTGTCCTAGGTGTCTCAGGTGTATCTCAGGTGTCCCAGGTGTGTCCCAGGTGTGTCCCAGGTGTCCCAGGTGTGACTCCAGCTGTCCCCCCCAGGTACTGCCGTTTGCGGGGCTGGAACACGCTGTTCATCTGCGGCACGGACGAGTACGGCATGGCCAGGTTCCCATGCCCAGGTGTCCCAGGTGTTCCCGCAGGTGTGACAGGTGTCTCAGGTGTGACAGGTGTCACAGGTGTGTCCCAGGTGTATCTCAGATGTCTCAGGTGTGACTCCAGCTGTGTCCCAGATGTCCCAGGTGTGACTCCAGGTGTGTCCTAGGTGTCTCAGGTGTATCTCAGGTGCCCCAGGTGTGACCTCAGGTGTGTTCCAGGTGTGTCCCAGGTGTGACTCCAGGTGTGTCCCAGGTGTCCCAGGTGTGAATCCAGGTGTGTCCCAGGTGTGAATCCAGGTGTGTCCCAGGTGTGACTCCAGGTGTGACTCCAGGTGTGTCTCCCCCCAGGTACTGCCGTTTGCGGGGGTGGAACACACTGTTCATCTGCAGCACGGACGAGTACGGCATGGCCAGGTTCCCATGCCCAGGTGTCTCAGGTGTTCCCGCAGGTGTGACAGGTGTCTCAGGTGTGACAGGTGTCCCAGGTGTATCTCAGATGTCTCAAGTGTGTCCCAGGCACGTCCCCAGGTGTCTCAGGAGTGTCCCTGTAGGTGTGACATGTGTCCCAGGTGTGTCCCAGGTGTCCCAGGTGTGATTCCAGGTGTGTCCCAGGTGTCCGAGGTGTGTCCCAGGTGCCCATGCAGGTGTGACTCCAGGTGTGTCCCAGGTGTCTCAGGAGTGTCCCTGTAGGTGTGACATGTGTCGCAGGTGTCCCAGGTGTCCCAGGTGTGAATCCAGGTGTGTCTCAGGTGTGACTCCAGGTGTGCCCCAGGTGTCTCAGGTGTGTCCCAGGTGCCCATGCAGGTATGACAGCTGTCCCAGGTGTGTCCCAGGTGTGTCCCAGGTGTGTCCCAGGTGTGTCCCAGTTGCTCACCCCCAGGTGTGTCCTCCCCAGGTATGCCCTGCCATTTGTTGGGGTGGAACACGCTGTTGGTGTGTGGTACAGACGAGTATGGCACAGCCTGGTTCCTGTGCCCAGGTGTGTCCCAGGTGTCCCCGCAGGTGTGACAGGTGTCCCAGGTGTGTCCCAGGTGTGACTCCAGGTGTGTCCCAGGTGTGACTCCGGGTGTGTCCCAGGTGTGACAGGTGTGACTCCAGGTGTGGCTCCAGGTGTGTCCCAGGTGTGATTCCAGGTGTGTCTCCCCCCCAGGTACTGCCGTTTGCGGGGCTGGAACACGCTGTTCATCTGCGGCACGGACGAGTACGGCATGGCCACGTTCCCATGCCCAGGTGTCCCAGGTGTTCCCGCAGGTGTGACAGGTGTCTCAGGAGTGTCCCTGTAGGTGTGACATGTGTCCCAGGTGTGTCCCAGGTGTCCCAGGTGTGATTCCAGGTGTGTCCCAGGTGTCCCAGGTGTGTCCCAGGTGTGATTCCAGGTGTGTCCCGGGTGTGTCCCAGGTGTGACTCCAGGTGTGTCCCAGGTGTCCCAGGTGTGTCCCAGGTGTGATTTCAGGTGTGTCCCAGGTGTGTCTCAGGTTGACTCCAGATGTGTCACAGGTGTGACTCCAGGTGTGTCCCCCCAGGTACTGCCGTTTGCGGGGGTGGAACACGCTGTTGGTGTGTGGTACAGACAAGTATGGCACAGCCTGGTTTCCATGTCCAGGTGTGTCCTGGGTGTGTCCTGGGTGTGTCCCAGGTGTGTCCCAGATGTCTCAGGTGCGTCCGAGGTGTGACTCCAGGTGTGTCCCTGTAGGTGTGACGTGTCCCAGATGTCCCAGGTGTGTCTCAGGTGTGTCCCAGGTGTGACTCCAGGTGTGACTCCAGGTGTGTCCCGGGTGTGTCCCAGGTGTGACTCCAGGTGTGTCCCAGATGTCCCAGGTGTGACAGCTGTCCCAGGTGTGACTCCAGGTGTGTCCCCCCAGGTACTGCTGTTTGCAGGGGTGGAACACGCTGTTCATCTGCAGCACGGACGAGTACGGCATGGCCACGTTCCCATGCCCAGGTGTCCCAGGTGTTCCCACAGGTGTGACAGGTGTGTCTCAGGTGTGACTCTAGATGTGTCCCGGGTGTCTCAGGTGTCCCGGGTGTGTCCCAGGTGTGTCCCAGGTGTGGTTCCAGGTGTGTCCCAGGTGTCCCAGGTGTGTCCCAGGTGCTCACCCCCAGGTGTGTCTCCCCCCAGGTACTGCCGTTTGCGGGGCTGGAACACGCTGTTCATCTGCGGCACAGACGAGTACGGCACGGCCACGGAGACGCGGGCGCTGCAGGAGGGGCTGAGCCCGCGGCAGCTCTGCGATCGCTACCACGCCCTGCACGCCGACATCTACTCCTGGTTCCGCATCGCCTTCGACCACTTCGGCCGCACCACCACGCCCCAGCAGACCAGGTGAGTCCAGGTGAGCAGGCCAGGTGAGCCCCAGCAGACCAGGTGAGTCCAGGTGAGCAGGCCAGGTGAGCCCCAGCAGACCAGGTGAG